CATGTGCTGCCTCCCAACCTCCTGCTCAGCCCCTTGTGCTCCTCACCTTGCCCCCGGCCTGCCAGCCCTGTCCCCAGCCTGACACAGACCCCCCTCACTGTGTGACACAGGAGGGTCAGGCGTGGATCCGAGGGGGGTGCCAGCTCCAGGCCATGTGTGGGGCAGGAGCTGTGAGCTGGCAGCAGGGCAGGGTGCAGGCATGGGAGGATGCCGGCAGGGAAGGGTGCAGGCAGCCCAGGCACCCCGGGTGCCCAGCACTCCTGCAGTAGCAGCAGTAGACAATTAATTAGCAGGGCGGTGGGAGAGCAGCCGGCGGAGCTGTGCGGGATCGATGGGCGCATCGACCGCCCGGGAAACACCAGCCCTCCCAGCCAGAGACGTGGCGCTTGGGGCATGCAGGGGGCCTGGTGGGGAGCTTGGCAGCCCCCAACCTCACGGAAGGGGGTGGCTGTGAGCTGGAGTATCACCAGCCCCTTTCAAATGCACAGGGCCAGGAGGGAAAGGACAGGCACTGGTGGTGCTGCCTGCCACGTGCCCCGCACCCCAGGGCTGACAGCTGCTCCCCTGCAAACCAGGAGAGTGGCTGGTCCCTGTGTCACACTGGGAGGATGGGAGGGTGTACTAATGCATCTGTGTTGAGGGAAAAGCAGGGTGGTCCCTCGGAGCTGGTGGCATCCACCGGGGGAGCTGAGGGAGGGGGCTGTGGGCAGGGGCTGCACGGAGAGCACAGGCACAGCAGCTGGGGCAGGAAAAGGCCCCATGTGCACATGCCAGCCGGCTGGGGGGCACCCAGGCCATGATGCAGGTCCAGCAGAACACACCCCATAGGGGTGGTGGCACTGCCTGCCACCTGCACAGCCCCGTGCTGCAGCCATGCCTGCAGGTCTGTCCACACAGCTCCTGCTGCTGTCCCCATCCCCATCCCTGTCCCCATCCCACCCACTCGCTCCCCCTGCCTGCCTCTGCAAAGTGAGAAGTGCCAGCCTGTCCCTGTGGGGAAGGAGAGTGCTCAGCCGTGTTGCAGAGCCTGGTATCCACCCAGATGAGAAGTGACAGCAAAGGACCCTTCTCAGGTACAGGCTCCCTGAGGCACAGGGCAGGAGATACTCTCCCCATCTTCCCCTCCTCTGCTGCTGGCACCGGGGACGACCCTGCAGCCACTTAACTCCTTCCCCACCGTGCAAACCCAGCTGTGCAAACCCAGCTGTGCAAAGACCCCATGCAAAGCTGTTGCTGTAAGGCCAGCAACCCAGCCTGGGCAGGCAGCACCAGCACTGCCATGCCTGCCTGCCCCACACTGCAGGGACAGCAGGCAGGAAACAGGATGGAGCAGGCAGAGCCCAAGTCTGGGGGCAAGACCCACAGGTGCAGCTGCTCTGCTGTGCCCCACTGTGTCCTGCCAGGCATGGCAGCCCACGTGTGGAGGGGTCCACAGGCCCTTCACCTCCCCCATCTCCCACACTGACTGCTATCTCTCCCAGGAGGTTGTCATGGGAACAGTGCACTGTAGGTACCCCTCACCCTGGGTACCCCTCCTTGCATGCCGTGGTGATTCTGGATGGAGGGCCAGCACAGTCTGGGCCTTTTCCAGGGCGGGCAGGGAGGGCATGGGGGCTTCAACCCCGGAACGTTCATGGGATGCAGGCAGTATCCATGGACAGAGGTCCCCTGCGTGCACACATCCCTTCTGCAAGGCCCAGAGCATCCCTGTGACCCCTGGCTGGGTAGCAGGCTCAGGCACTGCAGGAACAGTGTGGCACAGCCCCAGTGCCGGCAGCCGCACTGCCTGCCCACTCCCACGGTGAGCCAGCGCTGCCTGTTCTTCCCCGGCCCACACACCCTGCACAGAGCCAGCAGCTCCTTCCCCAGTTATCTGGGGGATTTTAACCCTGCAGCACCCACTGATTGTAACAGAACGGGTGCCTGCACCCATCCTGGTACCAGACACATGCTGGGGGCAGGAGGCAGGATCTGTCCTGGTTGCCAGAGCTGGTGGCTCAGGGAGAAGATGGACTGGCAGTGCCTGGCTGTGGCTGCACGCCAGCTGCTGGCAAGGTGACCCTACAGAGGCACCCAGCACCACCACCCCACTCCACCTGCCCAGAGAGGTGGACATGGATCTCCATCCCTGCACCAGCCCCGTGCTGTGCTTCTCTCCCCACTCCCACTGTGCCCCACAGCTACTGCAGCCCCACATCCCCCATCCCTATTGTTCCATATGGGTCCCACACTCTGCACTGCCCTCCCTGCTGGACGCCACAGCACTCCTGCCCCCCCCACCCCTGTCCTTGCAGGCCCCTCTGTCGCCAGTGTCCCCCCCCTCCACCTGCAGCCCTGCCGCATGTCTGCTGCCATCTGCCTCTCCCTTTTGATTAGTATTAATTTTTAATTATTATTATTGACAGGGCTGCCAGCTCGGCTGCCAGCTGGGACAGCTACCCAGCATGAGACAGGCCAGGGGCAGCCCTGACACTGCTGTACTCACTGGGTGGCTCCTGGCAATGACTGTGCCCACCCGGGGGGGTCCCTGACTGCCCCTCATCACCTTCTGGCTCTCAGAGAGGGACTATGGAGTGCAGGACTCAAGGATGAAGGTCACTGTGTCCCCAGAGGGTGGGCTCTGGGTGGGCACTGCCAGCCTCTCAGCCTGGCTGGGCTGTGGGGATGCTGGGAACCCATAAAGCCATGGAGATAAATGGCTCCTATTATTTTTTCCAATCAAATGAAATCCCACCGTGGCTGCACAAGAATGGTGATGAACCACAGCACTGCAGCAGCCTCTGCCCCCCCACCCCAGTTAACCTTGGCCTCCCCAGCTGACAGGGCACCCCACAAGCACAATGCCCTTGCTGCCCCAGGCATTGGGTTAAGGGGACAAAGACAGCAGGGGGCTCAGCCCCAGAGGCAGGTGGGGGGCTATGGGAGGGCCAGATGAGGCAGTGCAGTGGCTTGAAGAGACAGAGGGACAGGCAGCCCCTGGCTCTCACACACTTCACACTGTCACTGCTGGGGAAGAGCATTAGTGGTGTGTTTTAAGGGGGTCTCAGCACCCTCTCCTCCAGCTTCAGCCTTGTTATCCCACAGGTGGCTCTACCTGCCTCTCCTCTGGGGACCTGGGGTAGCTCTGTCACCCCAGTGCAGTCAGAGTGTACCCTACCGCAGGCCAGGCAGGGACCCCACAGCAGGCAGGGCAGGCTGCCAGCCCTGCCGTGCCGGAGCTGGCCAAGGCCGGGCGAGCGGCACCATCGCGTGGCGAGGGATCGACGGTACAGGCAGCGCAGGCAGCACCCAGGCTGCCGGCAAACGCCATCCGTGCAGGACCTCCGGGTAGGGCAGGCGGAGCCGACCCTCCCTCCCTCGCCTGCAGGCACCCCCAGCTGGAGGTGCTGCCCTTCTCCCCCGTCCCCCCAGCCTGGTCCTGCTGCCTGCAGCACCTCCAACCCAGCTGTCCTATGGGGAAGGGCAGTGGGGTCCTGCCACCCCTGCACCTGCAGAGAGAAATGACAGAGCATACCATGCAAGGACACAGGGCCATGGCCTGGCCCGCTGCCTGACAGGGATGAGCTCCTGTCTTTGCCCTCTTAGTGGCATCTTCCACCTGGCATAGGGACCATTGGGGGGTGGTACAGGGCAGGCAGAGCCCTGGCATGACCTCCCAAGGGGAGATGCCCTGGAGTCCCTGCTGCTGTCCTCTGGAGAAAGACAGCTGAGTCCCAGGGACACGGCTCTGTGCAGACACAGCAGAAACCCAGGGCAGTGCAGGGCTCAGTAAGCTCAACCCCACGGGCTGCACTGCAGGCAGCCAAGACCCCAGGGGTCACAGCTGCACCAGCTGCCTGCCAAGCTGTGACTAGACAGGTCTCAAGCAGCTCCAAGAACAGAGATGTGGTCGATACTTTGTCCTTCTGAGGGACCCGCTCTCTGCAGAGCCCGGCTTTAGACAGAGCAGTGCTTTCCCAGCACCATGGGGAAGGAGTGGCCCTGGCTCTGGGCTCATGGGGAGGCACAGATGGGCTAGACATGCTGCCCTGGATGAGGTGTAACCCTAGCTGACATGGAGCCTGTGTGCTGCTGGAGGGGAGGGAGGATGCTCCTCCTGCATGAGAGCTGCAGTGAGGGCAGAGCTGTAGGCAACACTGTCAGGAGGTGAGCAGACAGCTCCCCCTTGAGAACCTGACTAGGCAGAGAAGGAGGACTGATACTACATTTAAATACACAAATAAAAGATTAAAGGACAGAGTACAAGCTGGGCTGGATTTGGAAGGGAATATAGGCCCCTCTGCAGCCACGGACCGGGAGAGCCGGGAGGGACAGCAGAGGACATGAGCCACAGAAAGGAGGAGCCAGCAAAGTCCCAGGGCTCTATAGACTGAGGCTGTGAACATGTAGGTCTGGCACCAGTAAAGTCTTGGGAAGCAAACAAGCTTTGTACCACCTGTGCTGCAGGTGTCTGTGGGAGGTGATGCAGCATGGGGACGATGCTGTACTGCAGTCCCAGCACCCACTCTGCAGGGATGCTAATAGCCCTCAGCTGTGGAGATGATCTTGCTGGGAAGGCAGAACCCCGTCTCACTGACGTGCAGGGCTTGGGAGAGAGGGGAACCAGCTCACCAGGCTGAGCTGACCCAGACGAGCTGAGCTCCAGTACTCCCTCCCATGCCCAGGCTTGCAGGGCAGTGAGCCATGCCTGTGCCTTGGCCAGAGGAAGACAGAACCCAGCATCTATCCAGGGTCTCCCAGAACTGAGAAACACCTCCACAGCCCCAGGGAGAGGGACACTTGTCCCAGGCACTAGAGACAATGGAACATGCCGCAAACCACAGTAATGTGCTCCCAGCCCTGCTCACCCAGAAAGGGGGGGCGGGAAGCAACACATCATCCCCCTCACCATCCCCAAACAAGAGCCACCTGAAGTTTCCAGAGCCCTGGAGACACAGACCATACTCAGATGCAGCCATTCATTCTGAGACAATACATGGGGACCCCTGCTGCCCCCACAGTCACAGCACAAACTTGGTGTTAGGGAGGGAGTTGCTCTTGGTGGCCGTGTCTGCGTGGGCCTGGTACCCGATGGTCACCTTCTGTGACAGGCCCAGGTGCTCCTTGTAGACACGCCTGCCAGAAGGAAGGGGCTGCATGAATAGGGCAACACTTCTGCCACTGGCTCCCTGCCCAGAGACCCCATTCCCCCTAAAAAACTGGTCCCATACAGCCTCCCTTGAAGCTGCATTACCCAATGTGGGTGACCCCTTCCTGGTTTTCTGCTTCCCGGGTCCAGATGGCAATCTTGTCCCCCTTGGTGCGGATGTTGATGACGGCCCCGCACACCTCGTCGCTGTACTCATCAAACATCTCCCCAATGAGGCACAGCAGCTGGCAGGAGGAAAGGAGCCCAAGACAGTCCCTGCTGGCAGGGGGAGTGCCACAGCCAGAATCCCCAGACCAGCCTGAGCAGGGCTGCACTCACCGTATCCAGCCAGAAACGGTCTAGCTCGGTGTGCCGCTGCTGCTTGGACAGGGTGACCAGCCAGCGTCCACCACACTTGTTCTGGCTGTCCTCCCACATGGGCTCGATGCCATCCTAGGTACAGGCAAGGGGATGGTCAGGGGCACCAAACATCCAGCCAAAGCTGGCTCTGGGATCTGTGAACATCCAGCCAGATTTTCCCTCCCACCTTACAGCCAGTGCACCCTGCCAGCCCCACCAGCACTCAGTGTGCCCCCATAATGCTGGGTACGGTGGGGACTGTGAGGATGGAGTATCATACCTTGAAGAGGGAATAGTCACAGCCAGATGAGAGCTTGCTGGCGGGCTGGATGTGGCTGTACAACCTGTACCAGGTGGAGACACAAAAGCAGGGGAGAAGAGGTGCTTCAGGGACCTCCAGCACCCTCCTCTGGCCCAGACTTCCCCACTAGAACATCTCCAGAAGGGGCACACTGCATGTGCCCACCCATGGGACACTCACGCCCAGAAGTCCTCCACAGTGCTGAATTTGGTGACGAGGCGCAGGTTTGCCTGCCACATCTTGCTCTTGTCGTTCTTGAAAAACCACAGTGCCCATCTGGGGAGGGAAAGAGTGTTCAGCCATGCTGGAGACCTCCTCCAGCCCCAGCACACCCCTCCCAGAGCTGGAAGAGGCTGCCCATGGCTGCGCTCCCCATACCTGTTCTGCAGGGGGTGCTTGTCCAGGATCTCTTCTGGGAGTAGCTCTTGCTGCCGAGCCCTGCGCCGGCGCCGCTTCTCCGGCCTCTGCTGGAGAAGGAGGGACAGCCCTGAGGAGCCCCATGGCCACCCCAGCAGGGAGCCTGCAGCCCTTCAGCCACACTCACACTGGGAGACCCAAAGGACAGCAGGGCTGCCTAAGCCTGCCTCCCCAGCCCACAGGGCAAACACCCACCTGCTCCCCTGTAGCCATCCTGCCCAGCACACGCTCCCCCAGGCTGCCCCTGGCTCTTAAATGCCCACAGGCGGGAAGGATGAGGAGCCATCACAGCTGCAGCTGGTGGGGCAGGAGGGTGGTGTCCTGGGAGGGGATGTCAGGCCTGCCCTTCCTGGAGAGCAGGGAGATGGAGGATTCCCCTCTAGAGCAGGGAGCTGGGGCATGAGAGGCAGTGCTCAGAGTGGGATGGGATCAGGATGGAGATGTGGAATGGGGTAAGGTGGAGACCATGTGTGGGGGGGATCAAGATGGTGTGGTATGGGCAGAGCAGGACGGTACACAAAGAGGGTAGAGTAGCATCAGAGGGTAGGGATGGGATCAGGTTAGGAAAGGATGGAACAACATGCAATAGGAATGGGATGGAGAGGGAGTGGGTAGGGGATGGGATCAGAATTGGATCAGGTAGGATGGGAAAAGAGTGGGATGAGATGGGAAGAGGACATGATGAGAAGGGGATCAGTGATGGGAATGGCACAGGGACAGGATGGAACGTGTTGAGAATTGGAGAGGGATAAGGATGGAATAAGAAAAGGATGGGATGGGATAAGTACAGCTCGTAGACAGGAGGCGATGGGATCAGAATGAGATGGGATCAGGGTCGGGAGGCGAAGGGACAGGGAGGGGGTGAGATAGAATGTGATGGGGATCCGAACAGAATAGCATGGAGATAGCGTAGAGTGGGATCACGACGGGGAGGATGGGGAGAAGGGCTGTGACGGGGTGCTGAGCAGTGCGGGGAGGGAGCCCGCTGGCTGGGGCGGCCAAGGGCCAGGGGCGCCGCTGCCGTGCGGGGCGGTGCGGGGGCGGCGGGGCACGGCTCGGCACGGCCGAGCACGGCTCAGGCTGGCTCAGCCCGGCGCGGCGCGGTCCCCCCCGCGCATCACGGCGCAGCGCGGCGCAGCGCGGCCCCGGCACAGCCGCACTGAGCCCGCCCCGCCGCAGCCCGGCCCGGCCCGGCCCGGCCCGCCCGTCCCCGCCGACAGCGAGCCAGGTCGGGCGGGCGGCGGGGCCGGGGGCGCGGGACCGGGATGCGCGGGGATGGGATGCGCGGGGAAGGGATGCGCGGGACCGGGATGCGCGGGGCGGGCTGGCGCGGGGCCGGGGCGGGGTGAAGCCGTGCGGCCTCTCCCCGCAGAGCCGCCATGGAGGTGTTCATGAAGGGCTTGTCCAAGGCCAAGGAGGGGGTGGTCGCCGCCGCCGAGAAGACCAAGCAAGGGGTGGCCGAGGCGGCTGAGAAGACCAAGGAAGGGGTCCTCTATGTCGGTAAGGACCGGCTTACTCTGCCAGCCCCCTGCCAGCCCCCTGCCAACCCCCTGCCAGCCCCCTGCCTGCCCCCTGCCAGCCCCTGTCTGCCCCCCCGGCTAATCCCTGCCCGTTCCTGCCTGCACCTGCCGGCCCCCTCTGTCTGCCCTTGCCTGCTCCTGCGTTTGCCCTTGCGTCCTCCTGCCCATCCCCCTGTCGTCCCCTCTCCGCCTCCACCTGTCCCCAGCCCCGCTTCCCCCTCTCCCGCCTTCCCCTGCCCCTTCCCCGACACGACCACCCTGCGGCGGGGTGTCCTGGGACAGAGGGTCGGTGCCCGCAGTGCCCCCCAGCCCACCGGGAATCTGCAGGCGGGAGGGTGGGCTCTGCAGACAAGAGCAGAGCCGGGACTGGTCCCTAGGCTGAGGCCATGGGACCCTCGGGGACTGGACCCCCTGTGGTCCCCAGTGGATGCTCTGGGGCAGGAGTCCAGAGGGACTGTGGTGGAGGTGGTGACCCCTGTGCTGGGAAGTACCCAGCTTGGGGCAGGAGGGCTGGGACCATGTTTTTCCCCCTTGGAGAGGCAATGCCCTGGAATGCATCCCATGCCAGGAGATACTCCCCTGCTCCCAGTTGGTGGCTAAGGAGTCCCTCTGTGCTGCTGGGGTCTGTGTCTATTTGGGGCCAAGTCCTAGAAGATATGGCTGGCAGGAGAAGCAGGTCCTGGGCAGGCTGTGTGCCTGGCTGTGGTGTTGGGATGCTGGAGGCAGGAGCTGAGGCCACCCTGGCCTGGAGCAAGAGGTGCAGGGCTAGGGCTCTGTCCTGTTCCAGAGGGCATGAGCTTTGTGGGAATGCTGAGGTCCCAGAACTGTTCCCATGGGCAGTGGTGGATGCCCACTCTGGACCCACACTCTGCCCAGGGTGTGTGTGCTGGATGGGGGTCCAGCAGCCTAAGGAGTGCCTGGAGGCCCTATCCTGCAGGAGCTGCCCAGTCCCTGCCTTTCCTTCCATCCTAGACACCCCACCCCCATTCCATGGGGTGTCCTGAGTGGTGTCGCTCTGCCTGTAGGAGCCTGGCAGGATTATCATGGCCAGCAGCAGCACCCATCCCTGGGCACTCTAGCTGTGAGGCTTCCTGTGCTGTATTGGCACCAGCTCTGGGTTTGGATCCTGGCTCCTGTGGGAGGTTTTACTCAGCAGCATGGTTGGCATTCAGCCTGCCTGGCTGGGCCCTGGGGTCTTTGCCCTGCCAGGCATAGGGCAGTGGCCCCAGTCCTGAGGGTCCTGCAGGGACCGGAGAAACCTAGCAGGGAGCCAGGCGGGTCCTCAGCCCCCAGGCTGCCCTGGCGTGGCTAGGCTGGCATGTGGGCAGGATGATGCCCTGTCTCAGAGCCCTGCAAGGGTCCTGGCCACAGCATGTGGCAGAGCCTGGCCACTGGCCTCTCTAACCTGATCTCTGTCTCTTTCTACCCGCAGGGAGTAAAACCCAAGGTGTGGTGCAAGGCGTAACCTCAGGTATGGTCCCCTCTGTCTCCCCGCTGCCGTACCCCTCTGGCCCTGAGAGTGTGGCCGCACTAACGAGATCAGAGGCTAATTGAGGGGCTGATGTCACTCTGCTAAAGCCTCTTATATAACGGGGCCCGCAACCAAGGATTTGCAGCGGGAGCCCACACTCCCTGCCCAGCTGCAGAGCAGTGTCCTGGCCCCCTCCCCTCCCCAGCGCCCGGGCAGGGAAGTGGGAAGAGCCTGACCCTGCCAAGCGACTCCCCACCAGCTCCCCCCGGGTGGTGCAGAGCATGAAGTCACAGCTGGGCTCCCCTCCCTGGCACGGGGAGGGCACTGATGGGCACCCCTGGCTCTTGCAGTGGCTGAGAAAGCGAAGGAGCAGGCGTCCCAGCTGGGCGAAGCCGCGTTCTCTGGCGCGGGCAACATCGCGGCGGCCACCGGGCTGGTGAAGAAAGAGGAGTTCCCTGCGGATCTGAAGGTGAGACCCCCCCTGGGTGCTGCGGGGAGGCTGGCACACTCCCAGGTTTGGCAGGGAGCCCCTTGGCTGCTTGCCAGTCCTGAGGGAGGGCCCCTGAGGGTGCCCATGTGCCCTGCCTGTGCCCAGGGCAGGCTGGCATCGCGGCCCCGAGCGTGCGGGCCGCGTGTACGGCCGCGTGTGCGGGGCGTGTGGACGTGTGCGCGCGTGGGCCCCGCCATGGCGGCCGGCGGCGCGGGCCTGCGGCGCATCGCTCGGGCGGCTGCGAGGTGACCTGACAGCTGCGGGAGGGGCAGCGGGTTCCAGCTCGCCGCCCCATGAGCTGTTGGCTTCCAGCTTAGCCCAAAATAGCATCAGCTGAAGAAATGAGGCCACCGCCGCCACCGTCGCTGCGCAGCGGGATCGGCTGCCCCCCTTTCCCTCCTGCCAGCCCTGGGGAGGGGTTACCCAGCACCGCCCTCCCCTGACAGGGATGCAGGATGCTCCCGGCAGCACTGCCAGCCCCTGGAGTTTGACAGGGCCTGCATGGTGGTGCCAGCACCCATTGCCTGCCTGGGGCCAGGAGAAGCACAGGGATGTGCATACACAGCCCCCAGTCCCACAGACCTGTACATGTCACCTCCCAGCTGTGTGCCCAGGGTGCCAATGGTTCCCTCCACATGGAGCCCCCTGTATGCTGGGTGCATTGCTGGTTTGGCAGGGGCAGGGTGGGTGGGTGCCACGTGGGGGGCTGTGCGCATGGGACTGACCCCCTGGCTCACTCCCAGGCAGAGGAGGTGGCCCAGGAGGCTGCGGAGGAGCCGCTGGTCGAGCCGCTGCTGGAGCCAGAGGGGGAGAACTACGAGGAGCCCCCACAGGTGAGGGGATACGGTGGCAGGGTGGGCGCAGGGCACTGTGGAGGGCACAGTGTGACAGTGTTCTCGGCACTGGTGGCCACCGCTCTCTGGAGCAAAGATGGCATAGGGCTGGGGGAGAGAGGGGGTCTGTGCCCCACCTGAGCTCTCTCACTAACTCTTTCTTTACCCATCCCACAGGAGGAATACCAGGAATACGAGCCAGAGGCATAATGGACCCCCATCCTTGCCTCTTCCACCAGCAGCACAACGAACCGCCGGTAGCCCCCTGCTCCTCCCCAGCCAGCCCTGGCCGGTGCCTGTGCGCCAGGGAGGAGCAGGGGTGCCCCTGCCCCGTTCGCTCACGAGTTCTTCCTCCAGTTCCGTTCCAAGGGACCGTGTCCGTGTCTCCGTAACATGTCTAGCAGTGAGAAAAACCCGCTGTGTCCAAGCCCCCGAGCCCCAGTGTGTGCCCGAGCCGTGGGTGCCGCCCGCAGGGGCTGCTGTGTGTGTGCGTGCGCGTGTGTGTGTGTCCATGAAGCCCGGGTTTATGGCTCTGTATCCCTCCCAGCGCCATAAACCCCGGCTGTGTCCCGGCGTGTCTGTGTCTGTACAAAGCATGTTTACCTGCTCGCGGGCTGCTGTACATTTTGCTTGCACGCGTGTCCCTGTGGTTCTGCTCTGGTCATCGTGGAACTATTTTTTTTATATATATCTCTATCTATCTATGGGTGGACGGGTCTTTTGCCTTTGTGAACCCCTGGCGCCCAAGCCCACTCTCCCCAGCCTGCTGGGTGGTGATGGTGCCTGCGCCCCCCCCGAGGTCCCATAGTGCCGACGCTGTGTTGTGACGTGGCATGGATATTCCCCCGTCGCTGGATGTGCAATACGAGGGCAGCTGCCAGTGACACAGCTGCCCCCGTGTCCGTGAATAAAGCCAACTCTTGTCTGTAGCCCCCTGGTCCTGGTTGTGGGGTCCCTGGGGAGGGGAGTGGCCCTGTACTTTGGTGGTAGTGGTTTTGGGAAGAGGAATGGGGCTGGCAGTGGGGGAGTGGGTCAAGGCGGGTCTTCACGAGGACAAGGTACCTTTCTGTCCTCTGGCTGCTGTGTCAGCAGCAGGTCATTGTGCCCTGGGCCTCCAGCCAGGCTGTGGCTGAGACTTGGGGGTGTCCCTATGCCAGCTGCCTGTCTGCAGGGCTTTGCATCTGCAGGTGACAGCAGGGGGCCCTGTGGGGCTGAGGACCACGAGCCAGGATGAGGCTAGACACAGCCCTGG